AGTACTATATTTTAAAACAGCACAAAATCCTTCGCTTTCAACTTTTTTTGAACCATCTCCATTTATACAGTTCTTTGTCCATTGATACCGTGTTTATGCTTGTTTTCTTTAGTCTATCAGAATGATCTTGCTAAAAGGTACCCCAATAAATGTGAATTAGACTAAATAGTCATGCCTTAACTGTTTCAATACAAATGAATCAACTTCAGTATTCATGAACATTGTCTGTTGTGCTTCTCGTCCTCTCTTTTTCTTACACTCCTTTTCAGCCCCCTCGAGATATGCCACCAAAAACACATACGAAACGGATGATTTCTTCCTGCGCCACCATTATTGCACCAGATATTCCTAAAGGACATAAGGTTGCAGTTTCTAGAGGTTCTCAACCTTGCGTGGATTTATTCTCCACCATCGGTTGAGCGTCAAAGCGTAGCCTCCAAAAAGCGTGCCAACTGTCATACTGAAGGTACAAGTTTTATCAATACTATTTACATTCGTGTGTGAGAAGTGTTTTTCCCCATAATTCTGTGACCAATACACCTGATAAAATACCAACTTAACTTGGTAACCCATTACAGTGACGACGGCATCTTCTGTAACAATCAGATCTTGTCTATAAACTGGTATGCCTCACGTAACAAACTGTTATTTGAGAATAAATTATTATCGTCAGGACCAATGGACTTATCTGGTTTATGAGGATGTGGTTATTTTTAGAAGGCTGTCGGAATTATAACCACAAAGTCTATCGATAAATCAATATTGCTGTGTTTATTAGTTGGTCTTTCGCCGTCGTTGGTAGAAAATACCTTACTAAAATATTCTAATCAAGCCTCAGCTTTTGCAACATCATATCTAGCTTATATCGACAGATTTTCTGGTGCCAAAGGTGGTGAAATCTCATAGCTTCTCCAAATTCGCCTCTACACATATAAAGACGACCTTTTGGGACTATTTTCACAAGTCCTTACAAGCTGTTTTTCATGTGAAAGTGTAGCCTTACTTACCTACATCGTGAATACTTTCTAAACCTTAAACTAAATGGATCCGCACTATTTAGAGCCTGTAGAGATAAATACGTCAATTACTTTTCAAGCGCCTGAGAAGGTTCTAGACCTCATTAGTTATTTACAGTTCACAGTTATCAGTTCTGCGTGGTAATAAGCGTGGCATAAACGGAGACGTAGGTTGGGTATGTTTTTAAGTAAAGACCACGTTTCCAAGCGATGAGCTAGGATTTGCTAACCAATCCGTTTTTGTAGCAAACTTCCGTATGGCTCATATGTTTGTTTCACACACATTTGCACTAGGTATAACCTGATCATATACTTTGTCACCAACTGTAAACATGAACGAAAAAACCGCATGATCACTATTTGCAACCAGTGTGAGATCACTGAGATAGGGAATATCCTCGGTTTCTTTGAAAGTACATTAAAATATACATTTTGTTAACAATTCAAATCGACGTCATAAGGAGGCCTGGACCGTGATATCATTAAAAAAACTGATGACTCTCTCACATTAATCTCTTATCTCCTCACATGGATATAATGAGAATGCGTAGTCTATAAAGCAACAGAAGCACGTCTATCTTACGCGTCAAAGTTCATTAAATGTCTTCTGAAAATCGTTCAGAAACAAAAGGATTTCATTCAACCCATTTGAACCACCCTCTTATATTTCGGGGACTGTAAGCTTTACCAGTAATGCTAGACATTTTCTTGCTAACAAAACAAAAGTTCCTACAGTTGCGTTTCATTGTATTTACTAATATGACACTATTTTTGAAATCCAATATGACGCTAAACGAAGCGAGTAAATCGGCAGCCTATCAGTGGACAACTAGTACAAAAAGAATGTGATCTTTCCACTGAAAAAGAAAATATGACATACTCTAGATGATTTTCAATGACGTTTGTTGTCTTTCAGTTGCAGTTAGATTACTCATTGATATCAACACTAAGGACTCATACAAGCTGGCAAACTTCTGACCGACAAAATCATTTTAAGTGGGAAAAACCCACCTTAAACAAAGTCACTCAAAGTCATGGAGGCGGAATCGACAAAGATCTAGATTTTTATCCACCTCACTTAGTCAAAGTTGTCCTCCGGTAATTCTGCCTACTGAATAAGCTGGTCCAATTTTGTGATCAATATTTTTCAAACATCACAAAATTCAGGACTTATAATAATAATAATGTTTTATTCTCAGATAACAGTTTGTTACATGAAGTGTACCAGTTTACAGGATAGGTCGACTTGTTACAAAAGTTACACTTTTCACTGTAGTAATTTACTTAGCTGGGTTGATCATTTTGAGTCAGGGATACACATTCACTTAGAGTCTTAGGCTTATAGTCGTATACTATTTTGAGATCATCAGCATATAATTATGGTCTCCCAAATTTTATGGTGTGACGAATATCCTTTATATACATAAGAAACAAGAGTGGACTTAATACACATCCGTTGATGACTCCACTAGTTATCGGTTTAGGTGATGTGAGACAATCATTGTACTTTACTATTTGTTTACGTTCCGTTAAGAATGAAAAAAACCATGAATAGTGTGGGTTGTTGATTCCGAAGGACCGTAGTTTGACTAGAAGCCTTCTGTGTGGAACCTTATCAAAAGCTTTCTTGAATTCTAAAAATAAGACTGATAGAATGAGTCCGTTGTATCGTTTAAGAGTTACGTCATTCAGGTAGTTTACTAGGCATCTATCACATGATCTGGACCTAAGAATTCCATACTAGGGGACCGAGATGGGATTATTAGTAATTAGATGTATGACTACCGCCATCTTAACTACTTTTTACCATCACTCTAAATACCACTGAAGTCATGTTCATGGGCCGTTAATTTTAAACATTTGCTTCGCGTCCTGTTTTAATTTTGGTAATGATATATGTAGTTTTCCAGGAAGCGGGGTAACACGCTGTAGAGAATAATATCGCAAATAGTTTGAGTAATAAAATACACATATCATCACCTGCATGTTTTGGCATGCTAGCCGGAATACCATCTGGTCCATCAGTGTTGGAGTGTTTCAATGTACCAGTTACTTTAGAGGTATTTCGTACATTGAAATCTACAAAAGTAATTTCACAGGAAGGTGCTGGGATTGGTCCTGAATCACTTGGTGGTTTTTCATTAGTCAATGAGAAACGAAAGTGTTTACCAAATGGCTTCGTAAGAAGTTTAGGATTTTTGTATACTTGCTTGCCTTGAATAAATATGCTCCCTCTCGATTTGGAACGTTTAAGTTTATTTTGAAAGAGTATGGTGAGTGCAGAGGAGTTATTATTAAGTTCAAAAGCACGTTTCTCCTATTTGACTGTTTTTGTATCCTTATTGCCTCTTTTCGGACAAGTATTTCTGTCATCGTTACTAAAGAGGAAAAGTTATTTAAGTTATGGAATCGAGTACAATGTCGTCTTCGTGTACCGACTGATATATATATTTTTAGAGAACTTCGGTCTTCAGTATTCTAAAGGTGCGACTTGTAGAATTATGGTCTACTTCGTCATTGGTACTATTGTAATAACAGACCTAATACTAAAATTGTAGATATGTCATCCTGTGACTGTCAAATCTATAGGATTTTACGTGGAAGTCACATCATTGTGTTAGCTGGTTCGTCTTACGTATCATCGACCATAGATCATGGAGAACACATTTACGCTAGAGATAGAACAATACACCTAATGTGAATACAATAGTTATGTTACAAAGAACGACCATGCCTGCAAGGCTGAGCCATGCTATCCGATCAACTGAATTTCAGATTCATTCTTCTCTCCTTCGCTATCGTTGGATTTATCTCCGCTCCAAACGTTGAATATCTATTTTCCCAGTTGTCTTGTGTTCAGCTTTGAGAATTGTGTGGTTAGGACCAATGCCACTACAGAATTACACTTATCCCCAGATTGTGCCCTGATGCACTGAACTGAGCACAGATCCCTATAAAGACTATCTGGAGCTGACGCCCAACTGGGAAGTTCTTTATACGCACAAGTAATTTACCTCCAATTATGATAATTTAAATAACAGCCTATTGCGTGGGACTTCATCAGAAGCTTTCCTGAAGTAAATTATTACCAAGTCCACAGGTAGCCTAAAATCTTTCGAAGCATACCAGTTTTCACAGACTGCTAATACTTTTTTGAGACATGAATAAACTTTTCTAAAATGGTTCCGCTTTTTAGAAAGGATCGGGTTTTGTTTAGATGCTTAAACAACTTCCAAATAATCTCCCCTAAAATCATAACAAGCATGCTGGTTGGGCTTGTTTTGAAGGCATGTTTTACAATGATGTCCCACCAGTTTTTCGTAAGCCTTACTTGGGTTACATATATACTCAAGTATTTGCTCAAAAGATCGGAGATGAAATTTTCTAGTTCCTTTAGTAATCTTAGGATGAGTTTCATCGGGTCTCGATGATTTTAAAACGGTCTTCGTACAATTTTCTAGACTTGCGCAAAGTTGGGGTACAAATGTTGTGGGTTTCCCGATATTGAGATTTTGTCACATTAGTAGCCTAAATCCTCGACAATTTTTTTAGATTGAAGTAAACCAATTCAATCAGCCGCTCTTGTCCCTTGCATTTCAAGTGTTATGTTACCATTAACAATAAAGGAGATATTATTTCCAGTGAATATACTTACTTCTACTTTACTCTACTGTATCTTGTCGGCGCTTACTAACGTGAAGTTTACGAAGTCAAGTTCTCTTTTGTCTACAGACTGCGTCAGCCATGTTCGTGTGGCTGCTGTTATATCTGCCCTAGTAGAATTTGCCAACACATGTAGTTTGTTGCCAAGCTCTGGGTATTTTTATGAACGATTGAAAGGCCATGTAAATGATTTTGCTATGCATTCAAAATGCCTACGGCATCGTTCTCTCTTAAAGTCTCCTTACCTGAAGAATTCGCCATTCTGATGACCATTCATAGTCAATTAATCGTAGTTTTAGTTCTGTTAAGTTTCTTATTCTTATATGGCCACCGAGAGACAATTCATTGCGGACAAAACCTTTGATGCTTACAGTTCACATTCATTTCGTAGTATTGAATCATTTACATTTGGAGATTGAAATAATGCCTTAAACAATCTGGTTTATAACTGTTGTTTTATTATTTTAAGTTAACAAGGTATGCGAATAAGAATTATGTCCATCTGTATTCACTGACCTTCTACTGCAAGCGGAACACATATCAAGAAACAGTTTTCTATACAAACTTGTTTGAGGCATGCTACATAGGCGCTTTAATCTAACTTGACGTTACTGTAGTTAGTGATGATTGTTCTGTTGAGGCTGGTAAGTTCTACTATCATAAATTACTCTTCATGAACATGCTAGAAAGCCTCAAACATCCAAATTTATAAGTATATGAAATATCCCATTTCAACAAGACTTTGTAAAGACAATCCTGTCCTATCCAGTTTTTCGACGAGGTGAGTTTGTATCATTCGGATGCTGTCGTTATTTTTCCTATTTATAGACATCATATGTAATATTCCAAGCGTTGTGACAGCAACTGGTTTTACACTCGTTTATCGCCTATTTAAGATAGACGTTTTGGAGTTCAGAGGCTCTAATTGTTTCGAACTGGTTTTATTAATAAATTTAAAGTCTCCTCACATATCAGCCTTCAAGGGTTTTTTAAAACATCCTAATACGCCTCAAAGATCAATGTATCAGTCTTGCATCAACACAAATCTTCTGATGTTGATTACACATGATACTTTCGTTGGTGGTAATTATTGTAGTTTCATTCACTATTTAGGATACCTTACATATGGTCAATAGATTCTGCAGTAAAGCCAAATACAGAGTCTTTAATTCCGATTACATATTAATTTTCCATTATCTGTAGATAGTGTTAAAGGGACATAGATCATGTGAGAATATGCCTCCCTATTACCAAATCCCTGTATATTTTATTGTGTGACTATACCATTAGACTGCGACCACAAAATAAACCAACTACATAACCATAAAACCTCTCATTCATACTTCTCAGTTGACTTTTGTGGCACGGTAAAGACTAGCTACTCGAGAAGCATTGTGTCATCTGATTCACTTGAATCATCAAGACAAACTATCATATCAAGATAATAAATGACATCTAAGTAACAACCCTGTAACCTATAATTGTCGAAAAGTACCCATTCACGGGGGTTGTACTCAATTTTCACTTTTTATATTAGGACAAAGCGTCCTTACTTTGGTACGGCACCTATTTTTATATTTTCAGTCATTTCTCGTCGTTTATTATTAAAAGTAATACTTTGTCATTTTTCTGTCTGACACATAAATCGCAGAACTACCAGCTCATATTCTGGAAGTGCTATTCCTCCAACCAAACCCCGAAGAATTTTCAGGAAGTTCCTGTTTTTGAATCTGATATCAATCTGTTCATTTATTGGCTTAGTTTACGTGTCTGAAACCATTCGAAATGAATTGATTTCATACTATCCACCTTCTAAGGACATACTAAAGTTGATTGAAAATTCAGTTGGAGGTTGGTATTCTGGTTCAAAAACTGAACAACCAGTTGTTCCTGTCAGTGGTTTTCCACTCCCACCTAAGTAAGTTTATCTTTCGTTTTCTAAGAGCGTAGCATTTTGTTCTCCAGGGTTTAGGTTCTCTACGCCTGTGAATTTGCTTGTTTAACTCGTCATCGAGATCTTTTCTGGGGGTTATTGAGGCATATTTATTTCCTGTAGGTTTCAAAATGACTTTACAACTAATAAAATTAAAAACAATAAAAGTAAAGCATCTTCAGAGATTACCATTACTCTCACAGTTTAAAGAATTGGCGATGGACTAAATGTACTTCTCTGAGGAGATTCGTATCAAATCATTTGTGTGCATTTTAGAGTAGTTTTTAAGTAGTGTATATCATCTGAGGAAATCGAGCTATGGTATCAGTTTTCGAAGTCATTGCCCTCAAATGCCCTGGTACGGCCGAGAGTGGGGAGAGTCACCTCTCCCTCTCGAAATACTCTCATATGGCCAGCGAATATATAGCCTCTGCCAGGGAAGTCCTACTCACTGACTTCTCGTGGTGGGTGTTATCTACGAAATTGAGAGGACGAAAAGCGAATGTCCGGCGCTTTAACCGGGTTGGTGGACACGGAGGGTCCACCTAGGGGAGTTGGAAAACCCTGATTCCAAACCAATGGTCACATGGGCTCCAGTATCCTGATGGAACGAATGGCGGACGAACCTGTCATTGGTCAACGACTACCATGGGACTGCATCTCCTCATGATGCTCCACTGCTTTGTGGATCAGACATTCAGGTCAAAGGCTCCGGGTGTGGCTCCCTAAGAAAACCACCTGCTTCAGTCTGGGCACCTGGGCAGTATCACAGCCCTCACACAAATCGAATGAGATTTGTGAGGCGCATATTTATCTGGTGCTTCATTGTACCAATATTTATGTGTTTAAATAGTAATAATAAAAAATTCGAAGTCATTAATTGTTGGATCAAGGCGTAAGGAAAAGAGTGAATTTCCTTGTCCGAACTTGTGCAACAACTGTAGTTCAGATCTGGAGATGTTGGTTGATTTAGGCTTAAATGGGTCACTGTGACAGCTGTTTTGACTTTATATCTTCGTCATAATCTTGAGTTCAATTTCATTTCTTTTCATCATTCAATCTCATCTTCTCTTTTGAACTATATTTCTCGTAGATTTTTATTGTAGTCTATATTATTTCTCGTCTTAGGCTTCTCATCTTGTTAATTTCTTTCACTGTGTTGATACAGTGTTGAAAGCCGACAATTAAATTGTATGAAGCTCGATCAAAGCTGTTGCTTAGTAACCCCGAAATTTTAACTTTAATATTGTTTGGTTTGAGTGTCTTCAATGTGCTTTTTATATTTTCGTTATCGTATGTTAGTTGCATCAGTTAGAAATTCCAAAAATATAGTGTTATTCTGTTCCACTGCTTATATGTGGAAAAACCTAGAATAAAACAACCAGTTAATGATTGTTAAAAAGGAAAAAATTATCATTACGAATGTTCAACTACAAACATTTTTGGACCTCATGATCCATTGTGTTTTTTCAGAAACCTTTACTATCTCGAGGACTACATACTCGTAAACCAATCTTCACTCTATTTATATATTCAACCGTTATCTTGATGATAAATTTCCTCGGCGTTTTCTGATATTCTGAAATCTACTCCTTTCTTTTTATCTCATCTTTTATTTTGGACGCTATTTCAAATTACATAATCCCATAAATTATCTTTTGTTGATATTTGTCGAACATGATTTTGTCCGTACATTGCTAATCTCATCGTTCTTCCGTGTATTTTAACTATTGGGATTCAGCAGCAAACGTAGTGTTACTGTATTCAGCTTCTAGTCACACTTTGTACGTATATATCGTGCTACCCAATTGCCCAAGCCTAGCTAGGTTAGGTAGAGTTTGAACATGGAATCCTGTGGTTGAAAGTATATTAATTTCACTACTTGTTTACCGTATAATGTACCTCCACTGCTGTCGACAAATCACTTTGTTCTCAGTGATTCGTCTCTTATTTTTTCTAACAGCGAAAATGTGAATAGCAATGTTCGTAAATTGTAGTATTATAAATGGTCATTTGTTCGAACTATTTCTATACACAATACAGACAAATTCCATATAATTATGCTTATGACTTTGTTGTTCACTGTTCTGGAAATCTCGGTTCTTATAGATTAGCTATGGCGTATCTCACGAAGTCCCTAAAGAACACGAATTCAAATCCTTAAGGTATCATGGAATAAATGATGAAAGTATGAACTTTAGTCACAAGCATCAAGGAACATAAGACCTGAGTTTACGGCTTTTGATCAAGTATGCCTAAAACCAGCTAACTATAATAAAAAATGTGATACTAGGTAATAATCGTAATACACTTTTATTAAAATTGGTTATCACTCGGATAGTAAATTGTACATATGTAGTTTATTCTAGCTGTTTAGTACATACTTCATTGGTCTTTACTATTGTTTACTCTTTTTTCAAGACGAAATTCTGAATCAGCCAGTCAGGTGAAGTCTGTGGCCAGTTCAGAACCTGTTATTGTAAGTTACTGTAACAAATATTACGAGACTTATGACATTCATCACTTCGTTCTGTTCACATATACCGTAGCTTTAATAGGAAAAAAACCCAGCAAGTTGATGTTGACATACAAATATTGTACTTTAACATTTACCAGCTCATTAATTTGTATAAAAAGTATGAAATCTTCGTATATGCGGTGTTTATCTATTGTTATACAAGTTAACAGTAGTATTCCTAATTTTTACTAATTATAATTTTTATGGTGTTAGCTTGTATATTCATTGAAGAAGTGTTGGTGTGGGCTTAATTTTTTTCACTGATTATCTTTTGTAACAGGCGTAAAATACCCCTGATTTTCACGAATCTACATATTTTTTCAGCATAATTCATTCCATGTTAGAATTATTTGGTCGATTCACGTACCTCTTCAATCTTAAAGGGGTACAGTTTAAGCACAGTTTTTAGTGGAAAACGAAGGAAAACAAAATATAACTCTAACATCATGATCTTATTTTACACATCCAATCTTTCAATTAGAAAACTTGACGTTAGAGACACGTTTAGTCCAAACTGTACGGGGGAGTATAGGCTTTTAGTAAACGCTCCGTAGTGGCTGTAATCATTTGTTATACGTTAGAACCGATTACAGTGGCGTCGGAGTCACTCACTTTATCTCTTGTTTAATCTTGAGCATAGTTTCATTTTAGCGTTTTAATCGTCCAATCTCATTTTTTCGTTTTTAAACCGTGAGTGATGTGATCGATGCACGTATAATGAAAGCCAGAGCGGCTTATGCCAATCTGGGCCATCTTTGGCGCCTTCGTGATGTTAGTCTGACTGTAAAAGGTCGGATCTACAACGCGTCAGTGAGGGCAGTTTTGCTCTATGCTTGTGAAACCTGGCCTCTCCGAGTTGAGGATGTTAGACGACTCTCTGTGTTCGATTATCGTTGTCTCCGAAGGATTGCTTACATCCAGTGGCGACACCATGTTAGTAATGCAGAGGTTCGGCATCGTGTGTTCGGGCGCCGGGACGATAATTCAATTGGTGTCACCATCTTGAAACATGTTTTACGAATGTCGTCCCAGATAATTCCACGTCGTGCATTATTTGCCGACTCTGGGACTGGTTGGAATATTTGGATAGGTGGTCAGTGTATGACATGGTGTCGTGGCATGAAAGAAGGCTTCAAAGGGCTGGCTTCTGTTGGTCCTTCACGACTCCCTGGCTGGGGTCCGAGAGATGGTGCAACACAGTGGCTAGAGACGTTATCAGATATGGCTCAGAATAGAAGCCAGTGGCGATCCTGCTGTAACCTTCTTTTACTTTCTTCATAAAGAGTGGTTCTAACTTTCTTAACTGAAAGAGTCTTCTGGTTGTACATTTCAGTTCCCCTTATCTTTTCATCCTTTCTCTTCCTATTTTCATTATTTTGTGTGGCGCATATGTATCTGGTGCCCTTATGTACCAATATGTGTTTAAATAAATAAACTCATTCGCCCTTAATATTTCAAATTTACTCTAGCTTTGGGTTTATTCATTTGTCAACAATAATCAATACATATTTGTACCAGGTGCTAATAATTTACTGTAATGTATCTCATTCACTAACTATTTGTTCGTCATTGAACCACAGTTTTTGTGTGTGCTAATTATACCGCCCAGTTGGACACAACTAAAGTAGATAAGTTGGGTTTCAAAACTGTGACCTACTAGTTGAAAGGAGACTGAACTATTCAATAAACTACTACCATTACTACACAGATCCTTTGCTAAATCATTTATTGTATTGCATCACAATAATTATCTATTCTTTTATTATCTCTTACCAGTCCTGTCAAACAATATCCCGAATAAATGTAGATAATACGTTTTCTTAACACCTACGTCGTAGCTGACTGACTGACTTAACTCATTGTAGATTCACAACATTGACGTTTATTATCCCTCTGGAATGTGTAAATAATATTAAACGTCGCTTTTCATATGTATTTAGCAGTAGATGCGTCTTACATAGAAGCCCATGCATTTTGTAATTATTTGAACTTATATAAACACTGCAATAAATTCTTTTCGGGCCTCAAACCATTGTTATTTAGTTATTCTATGCACTTTTTCTGTAAGCATTATTATTCTCTAACTGATTTGCGTGTTGTCATCGCGTGTTTTTTCATAAAATATCGGTGTTTATTAATTTTAGATTGAGCAAAAACATTCACTACCTACTGTGGAAGAAGTTAAAGATATGACAGAGAAACGTGATCATGTGTCGGTGATGAGCGTAGACTTCTGTTAGTTTCTCATATGTTTAGTTTCTTTTTCTATTTTCAAGTGTTATTATCAGTCGTGCCTTTTATTGCTGAAACTTTGCTGTTTGCACTAGACTGACTAGATTGATTATTCTCAATAGAATTGTTCACCATAGTCTTCTGTTAATACTGGCTTAGTTTGGTTAGTCATATATCCATTGTATTTTCTTTTTAGGATTATCCCCAAAATTACGAGGACATCTTATTTTTTAACTTTATCTTCTCACTCAATGTAAAGTTTTCAGAGGGACTAATTTTCTAAATGATCATATTGGTTTTTTAAAGCAATTGGACCTTTTGATGAATTTCGATAGTGTAATAAAAAGACGATGGTGATTGACGAGATTATGAAGACTTCGGCATCTGAGGGGATGTGACGCAATCGTTTTCATGTTTTTTAGGTTTTCGATGAAGCAAGAACCTTGTTCTTCCCTTGATGATGACCTTTGCTGCTGAATACATTTTGTTAATGACTGATTTAAGCCTTTGTTTGTTGGTTATGTTAAGCATAGGTTTCTTTTACGTAGGAGGCTCGTAAAGCACAGAATTTTATGATGCTTTGAAAAAACTAGTTTCAAGAAATATGCCTAATCTCTTTTATTACTCTATCTAATCTCTCCTATTGCTGTTACTACCTCTACTATTCTAGGATTTGGCCTGACTTCACCTCTGTGCTAATGAGGTATCGCAAATTAAACCAATATACATGCTTACAAGTTGTGTGTTGTGACTGATTATGAGTATTTTCCACAATATTTAACACAGATGTTGGTTAGTGTCACTAAGTATGTATGATATGGAAAACTTTGGGATTACTTGTTATGGTTCAGGCAACTACCATAATAGGTAATGGTTTTGAATACTCAGCGTCATAATGTCTCGGAATCTCTATATTTTACAAATGTAGTCGTCCTCTGTTTCTCTTACAGTACTAATAAATGTTTCATTCTATATCTTTCGTTTTTTGTACTCACTTGTTTCTTTTATCTTCTTCTACTCTAGATTTCTGTCACTTAAAATTATTTATGTTTGTCACTTTTTTAACGGCTTATTGATTTCGTACCACTGTAATAATGCGAACCTTTGGATTTTGAATTAGCACACACCAGATGGTTAGTTTATAACCGTTTCTGTCATGAATCTGTCGCTCGTCGCCATCGACAAGTTTACTAAACATAATCTTTTCCTGTTTATCGATTGTGGAGGATGTTGATTACTTTTAATATGTAATCTTTTTACCGTCAGGCGGTATACTACGATTATTGTTGTTCAGACCTATTGAACACTAAATCGAGCCGGTATCATAGCTATCCATACTCTGTGAAGTGGTGGCTTGGTGGCTAAAACTCAAGTGTCAACCACAAAGTCCCAGATTTAAAACCTGCTCCACGTACTTCATTTTTGGAAACCGGGTAGCATCATCAACCCTCACACTTATTGTGGCTCATACCCAGGCACCTGATGAGTGCGTTTTACTTATGCTCTTAACTGTTCAATCAGCAGTTCAGATCGTGTGTTACACAAACCTTAATTTGGGTAGTATGATAATACAATAATCCAGTGCGAAGTGGTAATTTTTAACTAATGGTAGAATAAATGTAATCGTCTTGAATAGCACAGCTCAGTTTTTTCACAATTTATTGTTTTGTTTCATTTATTTTTGCGGTTTCATTTATTCAGATGAATTACCCAACGTTGTGAAGGATGTAGAAAGTAGAGTGGAGAGTGCCAAAACTAAATTGAAAGAATTTGAACATGTCATTGAAAAATATCTCGATGCACTGTTTATTGCTGTACAAGATAACAATGTGAGAAAATTTTTTATCTATAACTTATACTCTTATGAGTTAAATACTTCACTGGTATTTTTCTTTTTCTTTTCTCGTGTAAATACATAGTAAATACAATAGTTTCGTATGATTAAATAGTTTGATTGAATCATGATTGTTTGTTAGTATTGTAAGTCGTTGCACAGAGCAAATTCGGCCTGTAATTTGAAGGAGCCACATATGTTGATCATAGTCTAATAATAATACTCCCTCTTCTACTACTATTAGTAATGATGCATGTCTCACTTAACTTTGTGTTTTGTTGACCAATTTCCTTTTTAAAAAATGTATCATTAACGTAACTGTATAACAGTGGAATTTTTGTCCTTAGGAAACGATCAAGTGTTAAAGTGGTTTTGTGAAAATGTCTTATAATTTGTTGGTGATTTTTATCACGTATTGATGTTAGCTGAAGAATCACTGCAATAAGATAGCGCTAAATAGTCATTTTGTTCTGTATTTGTAGTTTTGGACAATTGGGATATTAGTTTTAATGAACTGTGTCCTTTCAATTACTAATTTCACCAGTTTATACCTAGTACTTCTTGTCTTTAAATCGTTCTACAGCTTATTTGATGCATGGCTGAATTTAATTATAGTATTATCAATCCTCAAACTACATATTCCAATTCGTTTATTAATTAATTAGTGTGTTTGATTATTTATCACTTTATTCGTTTTATCTTCTGATTGTTTTGTTAAGCATTCATAGTTATTTTCAGTAATGAAGTAAATATTCATTTATTTGAAACAGAAATGTTTTACATATAGCTATCTGGCTTCTCAAACTGAAGCAGATAAATTGGAGTTCAAACCTATCACTCAATAGTTGAAAGTCCGTGGCACTAATCACATTTAACCACCACTCCTCAAAAAACGTAATAAAACTCAGTATTCAAGTGATGTACGCGAAGTGGCTACTTGGTGCTTATAGTACTCATCTACCGAATTTAAAATTAGAATATCGTCCCACCTATGTCGATTCAAGACATCAAGTAGTATCACTAGCTTTCACGAAAGGAGAGGTATAGTTCAATACTGAGTACATAATCCTGCACTTAGTTACTAGCTTTTAATACTGCTTTTCTCTGATGTGTTAAAGCCTTATATAACATTCAGCAATTAAGAAATCGTCGTTCATATGTTATAATGTAAGTTACTACCAAAATTTCAAGTTAAAAGTGATTATAATACTCAGACTATTACTTAAAAGAGAAATTGTATATTGATTGGGGAGCTGATCGTCCTCATTGAATTCAATAAAAATTGCAAGAAGACTGCGAAATTCCTAACTTATCTTCCATAACACCACCTTTTGTTACTTCTTCCTTTAGAGTAGGTCAATTAGCTAATAAGAGTACACTACGTGAGTATTCCAGTGTTTAAAACCAATTAAGAGCTTAAAGTAGCTTCAGTAATAAGAATATATCCTTGGTTGTATCAAATATACAATGCGGCTTTTCATAAACAAATGATGCAGTTACAAAAGGTCGACTCTTATAGTAGAACAAGCTCTTGCCACATGAATTTTTAAAATGTATTGAGTTATTATGAAAACCAAGTGTAACCAGTCCCAAACGCCGGTGTCCTTGATCACATTTTTAAGTTAAATGAGATCAATGGTGCCAATCCGTTTTTTTTGGGGTCTCTCTTCAAAAAGTAACGTTTCATTCTGCAAATAACTGAAATATATTAATTGTTCGTGCGCATTTTTTTCAATGTTCAAGTTTCTTTCGATTCCATAAAGACCGTTATTGTTATTAATTTACTTCACATTTTCTATTGTTTATTATACTGTTTGCTCAATAATTCTAGGTTACCACCTCCAAATCAACATTCAAACCATTCTTATTTGGTTTTTGAACCTTTTTCTATCTTAATTTAGTTCATTTCGAAAGAGAAAAATTGGGATCTTGTCGGAAAACTAGAGATGAAAAAAGATAGGTTAGAAGAACAAGTGGAAAAAATCGTTCAACAAGCTTCGTAAGTGTTATGTATTTTGGAAGTGGAGGGGGGTTGTCGTTTAAATATGAATTTACGTGATGTGAATAAATAAATAAAATGTTAATTTTATTATTTTCATCATGAACTGACCGTAGTTAGACAAACATCGAAAGTACTGGACAGTTGTTACGTCCTAGTATAGGATTTTTCAGCAGTGCACAAGTACGACTCTCCAAGGGGCCGAACCGAGGGCCTAAAGGACTTGCTGTCAGCGCTTTACCTTTAAGCCACTGAGTCGACATCTAATTGTATACATTTTTAACTTCAGTCAGTTCTTCCAATACTATCTGTAAGAAACTTTTTCTCATTTAACATGGTCAGACTTCACTGATCGTGAAGTCATGGATTTATACTCCTTGGACGAAACAGCTGCCTAGTACCTCTTGGCTTTTAATGATTGTTTAACTAAGGTCAGTTCTTAATGCAAGCTATGAAGTTTACAGATTCCCACAAACCCTGTGAACTGATAAAAATTTGAATTTTCGAGAGTACCATCACGATTTTGTTTATCATTCAATATATATATATATATATATATATATATATATATATATATATAAACAGAGGGAGAGCTGATAAAATCTAATTTATGAAATTACTAAAACAGTTCAGTAAACCGGGGGATCTAATCATGAAACCTCCATTGTCATTCTTGTTAAGTTGAACTTGCAGAGTTGCTATGCTTGACGAGATTACAAGATTACATAAAATCGGCAAACGGAACGAAGGGGTAGCAATGCAACGACAAGACAAGTTAAAATATTCCAATGCGTCCAAGCCCTGCTAAGTAGAGGGAGAAGATTATATTCAAAATAGGGAGCAGCATATTCCACAAGCGGCCAGAAGCACAAGTAAGCCAAGCACACAACTGAAGCGTGTATATAAAGTATAGAGGTCCTTGGGAAACGTCATAAAATGGTGTATTAAAAGAGGCAATGAACCAAGGACATTTAGGGTCTTTCTAAGTAAGAAATATAATTCGAAGGTAAAAATGGGTGCTTTTGGCACGAAAACGAGCGATTCAAATTTCCAAAATGAAATTACAAAAATAATACATTTAACAAGAGATTCCTGGGGATCTAACATCTCCAATAAGAGTACACTGTTGTCTTACAAGGTGATTTGACAATGTACACATATGAATTCTGTCGTTACGAGAGAATTAGGATCTTTGTGTCAAGACTTATCCTCTCATATTTTCCTCCTTCTGTTACTGTTTTTACAATGAGTCAAGAATTTTCGTACATTAATGTTTGGGTCGATTATCATTTTCCTCTTTGTGCACATTTGTTTTTATGGAGGGTTAGTTTAGTAGTTAACTCATTTGGTCGTCAACCATCAAGTCACATGTTTAAATCCCTCTCCAGCTACGTTGACCTTGTGAAAATCGGGTACTGTCACTGACCGAACACATAATTTTATGCCTGTTTATTACTAAGTAGGTCGTAACAGTGTATGCTACTGCTTCTTGCTTCCCGTACCTCTGGGAGACAAATGTGGGCAATTTTTCATTCAGTATTCAATTTTTTTATGTAAAATGATTTACCATCTATTGCAAAATTTTCTAGAAATATTTATACCATATCATGACCAATTTGCGAAAAGTGTTTTATAATATCACCTAATAAATCGTTTATGATGTGAATATCTGTGAGATACAACTACTCTCATCAACGTCTATATTTTCTTATTATTTTGTCGATATTTTCGCTTGTAACTATTTGGATAAGAATTAAATTAAGCTATAATGTTTTTAGAAGGTTTAATTTGTTTTAATGTTTTCTGGGGTTTGTGGTAGTTGAATTTGGTTTTTTTGATTGAAAGATTTCAGTTTTGTAAGAGCGTTGTCAATAGATTTCTGGATGGACAAAATAGATCCTGTTTTCTTCATTTTAGCTAGTAGCTCGGCTGTTTAGGTCGTCGATCTTCAATTACATCGTCACATGTTTTCGAAGGTTCCTTTTGTTTTCCTCTGAATATTAGCATTACAAAAGCTACCAGTCAGTTAATTATATGAAAATGAAGACCTGGCACTTATAAGCATCGGTCCGGGTCACCACACTATTTCAGCACAGCGAAATCCCATAGCAGTATAAGCAGTGACATCATCAGTGTTAGTACAAAGATTAGGTATAGACTTTATAATTCGAGAAAAAATGAATTAGTGAAATAAAAGACATAGTATTGGATCGTTTTAGAAGAGTGAATGCACCAGCCTTACTGTAAACGACTCTTGCCCATGTCACCCAAAGTCTCAAACAGTTGGTTACGGTAACTGCGCAAACTCCGGCTAGGTAGTCTTCATCTACCAACATACTCAGATCGATACTCGATGACTTTTTGGACTGATGACACATTTCTGGTTTGATCGTCTTTATGCTATGGATTCAACTTGTAATCTCTAATGGATTTATACCTAAATTTTGTTTCTTGTAACGTGATGTTTTGAATAGTTATGATTATTTATTTTCCATCTTTAATAATTAGACAACAACTTGACGAACTTCATCATACCATTGAACAACATAGAAATTCGGAACAAGCAATTGACAGTAATATCATCCCTGATTCTATTGAATCCTATGGAAAATTACAATATGACTTAACTGGATCAATCAATAAGGTAAGTATATACTTCACAATTTCTTTTCTTGTGATTTAAAACTTCACAATACGTCACGTTGTAGATTTTATTTTACGAATTTCCCCCAAGTTTGTGCGACAATGAAAAGGTTCATAAATAACGACGGCGTTAGTGGTTTAGGTGTTTAAATTTCAGGGAGTATGTCCAAGGTTCTTGTTCTGCTCCACCTATTTTGGTTTGGATAACCGTTTAGTACCAGTCAAGTTCAACTACACGGATTTGTACTTGGTAAATGAGTTACACCATTTGATGAGTAGCAGTTCATTTTCTTGTATTACTTAAAACTTTTCTCGTAGTACTCCTAACTGACTGGATTTCGGTTGGACAATGTTTGCTCCATGTCAAAATCACCGGTACATACGTTTGATAAGTTCGATACTAAGACAAAACGGTTGTTTAATTTTATCTTTCCTCTTAAGTTCATCAGCTAATATCAGTACATGACGAAAACTAACTTCGAAATATTTAAATTTCTTACTGGTATATGAAAGATTAAGCTGAGTGAACTAGACATGACATAAGAAAGCTGTTTGATTTGTTAATAAGAACTTCTGAATACATAGTGAGCTCGTATACTGTATGTCGGACATCAATGCTTCTATGGCTTTATATGTTAGCACATAAAATATTGAATTCCAAATATCGCTGGGATAAATATGTGTTATATTTAAATGGTTATGCTTTGTATCCCAATCAGCATTAACCGCTTCTAACGATTTGTCTAAAATGCTCAAGCTTACCTCAATCTACTCTATTATAAATATGATCAAAATCAATTCAACATATTCATAGGATGTAATCAGTCATTTAGTTTTTTTCAAGAAGCTATCTTAAAATGCAACTTCCTGTGAGATTACCACCGTGCCAGATGTTGAAACATGAATAGTTTTAATTAAATAATTAATTCAAATTTTTATTCTGATTGCATTTATAACTATGAACAGAGATGAATGAGGGTTAGCAGTAGAATCCAGAACGCGCGTTCCGTCCTATTTGGAACTTGTTAGCTCATAATGCTTGTGACTTGAGGCAATATCAAATCAATTCCCGCAGGACGCACATATGTCAATAAGAGATTGATCAATTGCAGTACTAAATGTCATTGAGAAGATCTAAATAACCTACCTATATATTTCTAGATAATCAAACTATAAACTGAAAATAAATTGACAATTTTCACGGACCAAGCTAGATTAATACAATATAGTCGACCTCTAAATATTATTTTGCTTTCTGGATAGTTTCTTCATATTTCGAATCTCCCCTCCCCCATTGGAATTAAAGTGCTTTTATGTTTTTCTCAATGATTTCTTTGATTTAAAGGTAGTAAAACTTCAGAATGACGTTAATATGCTTAAACGTTATCGTGATTTAGCTTCTTTATCGCATACAAACTTACAAGATGATTTAGAAGCTTTGTCGAAACATATTGAAGGGAAAAGGCAGGGCAAAGGTAAACAATTGTAATTGTTATTAAAACATTGTTCTATTTTTATATTCTTATTTAAATTGTTAATCCACCCACGTTGAAAATATACTTGATAAAATTGAGTTACAATTTCATTGTGTACGTTTGATAAGATTAGCGCTTAAAATTAATTCATACTGTAAATTTCCTCCTCCCAAGATCATTTTCAGAATATGTTATTGCTTAGTATTCTTGGACACTACTTCAATCAATAAATCCTCAAATTAGAACACGGTTGAACAGGAATGTACTTATATTCCAAATGAACAAGGCTAAGTGGATGCAGGAATCGCAATAAGAAAAACGTTAGTATAAATCCCGTTGATATTGTTTACTTGAATCTACCCATTGATGTTTGGGACTGCAAATGATCAGTCTCTTATTAGTATATATGCATCCTGTGCGGATCGCCTCGATACTGTCTCAAGCCACAAGCTCTGTAAGTAGAGATGGATGGTGGATAGTAGCGAAATCCAGGACAAGCGTTTCATCCTATTTGGGACTCGTCAGCTAGATGCACCTGCATCTCAGAGTTGATGTTCACTCTGGGACTCAAACGTAGGAAGATTTTATGATCTCCTTGTATCCGCTAGCACTGATTGGTTAAGAAAAAGCCAATCAGTGCGCTTGAACACAATTCTGCACGGAACATGCTTTAATCCAATCCATATCCTGCTAGTAGAATGACTAAACAGTACTTAACTTGACTTATTTGGGGGATAGCATTGCATCCAAAATAAAGGTAGTGTATATATTTTACTGTTTCCTTAAAGTACTGCGATAATTGCTTTTAATTGCATGAAAAAAACATAAATTTCAGAAATATTAAAATGTTTATTTTCGACGATATGTACATACATCAATGATATCAGAGAAAACCTTATATTCATGCCTGACAATCCATGAGATATTTTCTGCTAGACTGTCGAACGAAACAGAGGACGTCTTAATTCACTATTCCATCGTTTCTCTTTCATCTTACTAAATCATCATTATTACTGTTTTGAACTACGTAGACAGCAAGTGATTTAATAATACATTATTAGTAAAAGTAACCATAAAAATTTCCTGTGTATGATGAATATTTTGCATAGTTTGCTTGTTACCTCAAGCAGAGTGAGGGTATATAACCACCTCCCTCCACTGTCCTATCCAAACAGTGGGGTTGGAGGAAGTTTCTCAACCTCAACTTTGTTATCGATAACGTTGACTAAGTACGTACGTATTTGTAGTGTAGATCTGCTAGGACTCCAAATGCCCTGATACGGCCGAGAGTGGGGAGAGTCCGCTCTCCCTCTCGAAATGCTCTCACATGACCATGCGAATATATAGCTTCTGTCAGGGAAGTTCTACTCACTGCCTTCTCGTGGCATTACTGTTGTTTATGAAATTGAGAGGACGAAAAGCGAATGTCTGGCGCTTTAACCGGTTTAGTGGACATGGGAAGTCCACCTAGGGGGGGGGTTGGAAAACCGTGATTCCAAACCAATGGTGCACATAGGCTCCAGTATCCTGAGGGAAGAAACGGCATATGAGTCAATCGTTGGTCACCGGCTACCATGAGACTGCATCTCCTTACGATGCTCCACTGCCTTGTGGATCAGATCTTTAGGTCTAAGGCTCCGGGTGTGTCCTACTAAGAAGACCATCTGCTTCAGTTTGGGCACTTGGGCAGTATCACAGCCCACACACAAATCAAATGAGATTTGTGTGACGCATATATATCTGGTGCCCCTTCGTACCAATATTTATGTGTTTAAATAATAAATAAATAAATAAAGTGTAGATCTATAAATAATTTAATATATTTGTAATATCCCATCATTGGGATATTTTAAATATATTAATTTATTTATAACAATCTACCCAATGCTCAATTTATTCAAAATTATCAAATCAAAACTTGGTAATGATACCTATAAAAAGTGTAGATCTGTTACCTGGATAAACGCGTCTCAGCTGTGCATATATTTGTGAGGTCTACTTAGCTATTGAAGTTTACCAATTGTTTATCATGGGGTATTTATGTTTAAGCCTTTAATCATTTCTTAAAGGGAATATTTCTTATTGAATTAGTCAAAAGAATTTTTGAGTGATCACTAGTAACAGATTATGTTATTGTACTTGGTTGGGTGTAGTTTATAGTAAAGAATCTCACTGCTCATTTCCATCTAGTAACTTTCTAATAAGAACCCTGATAATGTCATCTGATTTAAATACACATGTCGAATTTCATAATGAAGTACTCTTTTCATTTAATATGATTGGGGTTTGGAATCGACTAAATATTACTACATGAAGTAACTATAAATAATGTGTCGAAGTGTCAAGTCTCGGAAGTTACCCATAATTTAATCTTCAGATATAGCAAATGGAACCCATGTTCTTCACTTTCCTGTTCCCTTGCTGTACATCATCCTTTAAAGTATTCGTCGAAATTTCATTTTCTATGTACGTGTTTGTCGTTGAGTATTAGTAATTAATGTTATATTGTTTATTCCTCAGTATTGATTGGATTTCGTCAATGAAGTCGCATTGTATCAACCAGAGTAAATAGCTTGGAATTTTATTCTGTATTAGTTGATTGAAGGCACTCGGTAGGAAGCTATGGACCTAGGTTTTTGTGTTGGTTAATACTCGTCAGCATAATTTATATACAATATTATAGGTCTTCAGGAATGTTAGTGTATCTCGTTGATTAGTATTAGTTAGCATGAAATCAAACTTCAGTGTTTCCTTATAGTCTTCTTTATCTGTCCAATGATTGCTCCTTGAAAATAGTTACCGATTATTGTATTTTATTTGTTTTGTTATACTAATTCTATTGGTTGTTTTAGGTACTTCCACAACAATGAATGTGGAGGAGCTGAATGATTTGATTTCAGTGGCACATGCTCGTATCTCTTCCTTACAAGATAAATTAGATCATTTAGAACATAGTGAAAGAGAACGAATGAAATCAGCCTTAGAAGCACAACGTCAAGCAGATAATAGTCTTCGAAAAGAATATATCAAACAAGAATTAAATCGAGAACGGACGAGACATGAAATTGAAAGACATAAATGGGTGTGTAACGGTTTAGTTTTCCATCTACGTAATTATTATATGCTTTTTTCAACGACACTTCTGGTTTCATAAGAAATTTTTGGGTAGGTGACAGAATTTAGCTTCATTTAAAACACCATCGCATTATCTCTTGTATTTACTGAATGATAGACCAATCGAACTGCGACATTGATTGATAGCGATTTTAATTTTGGAGTCATCACTTATCAAAAGATTGAAGTTCTGCTTAACTAACAAGTATCAAGCAGTATAACACATAGAAAAAAGGGGCTTCTTTCTATTGCTTTATTCTTCCAGAACTTAATGGCTTAAGCACTCAGGTGATAATTATTAGGTCACAAGTTTGAACCTCATTTAACCCACTTCATTTTAGACAATCCTGTCTTAACATCAACTCATACTTAGTTGCCGAGTTGAAAAACTTCATTAAAATTAAAATTTAACGTTGTTGGAGTAGAAGTGTGGGATGATAGATGCTGTAATTTATATACGAATCACTAGCTGACTACTCAGGAGCGTTGTGTGAATTAGCTAGATTATCCTAACACAGGTAAATTGAGGTAGACGATTTTTAATCTTACTATCAAACTTTTTAAACACGTCATGGCTGTATCTGTATTCATTTGGTAGTATATATAAGATCATAATATGTTAAGAAACTTCAGTGGATTTTTATACGCACTCACATTTCCATCGATCTGACCTTATTTATTAATATAATGAATTTCTATCAATTAAATAAATAAACTCCATCCGTTTGATCAATCAGTCAGTCAAAAACAACGTCATATCTGATACATATGTCTATCGACTTATGTTTCTACATCACATTCATATACAGCGATGAATATCAAAGTAACGGTGTTAGTAGTAGTAGTAGTAATAGTTGTAGTTGTAGTAAATAATAGTAGTAGTAGTATCAGTAATACTAAGAACAATTACGGATTGTGGGTTGCAGTTGAAGGAGAAAGAATTATTTCACAGGATAAAAAGGCATAAAGTAGTTTTAATGCACATTAACCATTATTACTACATTTTTTTCTATGGCTTGGTCACTATATTGTATCCGGGTTTTTTCATTTTTCAAAAACCTGATTATTTTATATAGTTTCATCACGAGTATTTTATTGCTTGAATAATTCTTAGTCATCTGTACAATATTATTTAAATTAGTTACGAGAAGCTCGTGATGCTAAAGAACATGAATTGAAATTAGCACTGGCGAGACATAGTGAACATCTTTCACATATGTTACAATTACAGAAAGATAAAATGGAGCATCAATTCGCACATCAACTACGTGAAGAGTTAGCAAAAGAAAGAGTTGCTTTTGAAGCTGCTCTTATCGGTTGGACTAAGCGTATGGAAGCCATAGAAGATGTTGTGGATGGTTAGTTAACCGTTGGTTTTTTGTTTCTGAAGTATTTATTTGACTCGTATTATTAATTTTTTATTTCATGCAGCAATAACCGACAAAATCCCAATAAAATATGAAGTTTCATACATATATACTCAGTATTCAATACACATATTATTATCTGTCGCTTTTTGGTTTATGCATTCGAATTTTAACTAACCGGCCACAAGTTGAAACTTAGCTTCACGTCTGACAATCAGATTTCAAACGTTATTTATTGTTGCTTTACAATTCTGACTCCTTAACCCAATAAACAGGATCGTACATGGATATCAACTTGTATGGCGTATCGTTTCCAATATGTATCAGCAGAACTAAAAATTAAATGCTTTGCAAGTAGCTCATTTCTTACGTCTTTTTCTTTTCTTCTCTTTAAGATGTGTTTTATTAACAACCCGTCAAACATTAATTTTTTTATTTCAGGAAGAGCTGATCTAGATCGGTTAGCTAAAGAAGCACAATCATTATGGCTTTCATGTGAAGCTTTAGCCTGTCGATTACATTCAGATAGCCCATCAATGAAATCTCACCATGAAACAAAAAGCGATTCAAATGTACTGAATCAAACTGGATCTTTAAAAGGTTTTGTCAATTCCATTCGTGAATGCACCGCTTCCAGAAATTACCCTTTTGTCAATATAATTCTAGACAGTCTGTCTAATGATATAGTGGAAAATGGAGTTTGGACAGAAAATGGGTTGAAGAAGAGATTTGAAAAGGTGAATTTTTATCTTTTCTTTTTCACAGTTTTTCAAAGAATTCGAATGGATTTTTCGTATTTGATTCCTTGAATTTGGTTATCACTTAAGAGTGATTAGATAATACACATGACGTAAGTGATGCTAATCGACTTGCATTTTAATGATTAAAACACCGTTGCTGTCATACCGTCTTTCTTTTGCACCCATAGTTTCCTAAATACTGTCGATGCGAAATTAAAACTTCTCTTTCTTGTAAACATTATATAAAGTTTTACCAGCGTCCGTCATGTGTGCAAACCGAAACATGTGTTACCATTGCCTAGTAACCAGTTCTGACATTGAAGGACCAACTTAAAGGCAAATATGCCACTACAAGATTATGTCATTACTTTTTGTCTTGTCTAATGACATCGATAAAGTATTATGGTTATAGAACCATTTGGTAATTGATTTTTTTTATAATTCAGTAATCAAGTACCGATTTGCGTTTTTAGTCTTTTGCTGTGTTTTGCATATATATGTACGAGCTGATGATGTTACCCAACTGCCTAGATCGATTTCGGTTTAGCGGGATCCGAACTTACAGTCTCATGGTTGAGTATTGTATTTAAGCTTTTAAGCCAGTGCTTGTGCATTAAAGTAAATTATCTTTAACAATGGTTTCATTATCAATGAGTAATTGCGAGTGAATTTTAAAATACCTCTCATTGTTCTACATAGCTGAATTCTATGTCCATTTATAAGCTTCAACTAAGATGCTTAGACGTTTTTAAGAAGATATCAGTGTATACTTTGCACTGATCATTGTAAAGCAACCTTCATGCATTTATAATATAACTCACTTTAAAAAACTTCTCCAAAAGCTCACATTCATTTGTTTTTGTGTGCGCGGATTAAACGGTATCAAAGCAACTTTATCGAGAAATCGACCTACTCATTTATTCTAGGAAAATGTTATTGTATATTCTGAATGCTAATTAACTTCTCCATTATGGAGCATTATGGTACCGTGTACATACTAAAAATATAAATTGTACAGGGTTGCATATGTTACATCTTCATTTGTCACGTCTATTTTAGAATTAAAAACCACTTACCATTGTTTGTTTTTAAATCTTAAATATCAAACCGATTGCTAAATATTTTGACTTATCATATTCCATATATGTTGTGTCTGATGCTGTTATGTCTGCTAAATGCTTAACTGGCTTGTGCTTTGTACTAATGTCCTGAATTTGGCGACGCATAGCAAGAAGATGAAGACTTATGATAAAGATTTATTTAATCTAGTAAATTAGTCGAAATGGTACATAAAAACACTCATTTACATACTGATTTTATTCGATTTTCATGATTGGTTAACAATTTCTACACTTAGGGGAAACACACAGAATTATTACAAAAACTCAGACGACATACCATACTGAAACGACTTTCATACTGAATTTATTCAAAGAATGAAATCTTAGATAAAAACTATGCTTGAATAAATCAATATTACACTGAACAAAACATGACATTGAAATCAAAACAGATATTACTCTGTGTAATCATAATTTTGAATCAAAAACGAAAGTAATGTTGAATGAAAAGAAAAATAAGTTAGGAACGTGATTTTAGCAATTAATAGATTCAAATAAGATTTTGTGAATAATAAGTTTTTTTAAATATACTACAAACTGAACCCACCACCGCTTCCGTCGGGAAGTTATGTTTGCTGGGATAGAAGCAAGTTGGAACAAAATCAGGAGTGATCACACCAAGACATGAGATCATCCCATGAAGTCATTGACTATTGATCTAAACCATCCTGAGAGATGCAGATTACTTAGTTGAGGTCCGTACAATAACAGCGATCTGGAGTTGGAGACTATGAGGTGACTTGAAGTAGTTTGCAGTACCACAGGTACATTCACTCTTCATCTTCCTGTTGATCTGGAATTCCATATTTTCCCCATATATATCTTTCCACTGTATGTACTCAATCCATATTTCAAATATTTGATTCTTCTCACTGTCATTGCCACTAAATTATTTCGGTCTCTTTTGCAATTCACCTTGATAATTTGATATAATTGTGCTAATGCGGTGTGGCAATTTGAACCAACCCAAATCTTTGCAAAGCTCTGTGTCGATAGTGAATGACTGGCTAGCAAGTTGAACTGGGTTAATTATTTTTACTGCATTGATTCTTTGTCCGATTGAACATAATCTTGATTTGTTAGATGTTTTTTTTACCATAAACCTTTTCAAGATAACATACATATTCAAGTTTTATTACTTATGACTGAGTCTATCGTGGACTATTCAAACACATATATCAAAGTATTTGTAGGTTATATTTGTAAGGCACATTTCGTTTGCAAAATATTAACAAATCTCATTCATTTATTTCGCATTCGTATTGATTGCATATGGATTATCCGTAAGGATTTTACATTTGTTTTGTATCGTATTCTATTTTTTTTTGTTTTCTAAGGTATATAACGTCTGCAGAAATGTTGCATTAATTGATGAAACAAGTGGCTCACTATGGGAATATGCTTTATCATGGCTACAGTCTATATTAGTAGTAGATGTGAAATATAAATGTTTGGAAGCGATTTCACGTATTAAACCAAATATTATTGGTAGTCCTTATGTTCAATACATTAAAGATTATGATACAACAAAACAGACGGACTCAATACCAGATTCATTTCATTTGTTATCTACTGCCAAATTCGCTATGAATAGTGACCATAATATCTTTTCAGGTGACGAGAATACCTCTAGCGATGAAGCACTTGAAACGGCTGTACGATTGTTAGGTCAGTTGCGTGGTCAATCTCGTGTTGTTGCAAATGATTGGCTAGTTGATGCTCGACACTATTTAGAAGCTAAACAAACTGCTAGAACGTTATTAGCCTATGTTGCAGCTCGTGATATTTCTACTTTCCAAAAGCGTCTATAATCGTTTTTGAAAAGAACCATTTAGAAGGGTTATATCATTATTTATCATTCTTATTATCGTTCTTGGGTACTGTCTGAATCTTCTCATAAGGCATCTTTTGTGAAATTAGTATTTAATTTTTGTATGAAGTGAATCCTAATTTGTAATTAGCCTTATTTAAATGTACGTGAATATAACTAGACAAAAATAAAGTTGTACACTTTTCCTATGAGGATTTTTTTTTGGTATTTTCATGGATTAATGTCATTGTTGGATATTTTTCCACTATTTTGATTACACAATATCTTGTCTAGGGAATTCCATTTAGTCAATTGCCTTCTCGGTGGCGTAGATGCTTTAAATTAAATCTGTCTGTATGTCACTGTCATTGAGTTGTTGAAGTATGGTATTTCGCCGACTAAATACTATCTATTTAAGTTCGAAAATGGTGACTGCCCACACAATCAGTACGCGTATCACTTTCAGTATCTTGTTTTTTGCAACAATATGTTGACTATATATGTGTTCGGTAATTCGATGAATACATATGGCGATATATATTAATTGTTGATTGTTAGTGGACTCTTTCACGTATTTCTAGTTATTGATGTAAACAACAGACGGCTTGGGTACTTCGTAAAAGTTATCTGCTATCATTATGTAAATATACTTCAAAAGGAGAAAAAAGCGATCTTTGGTAATTCGAAATTAATTCTCCATTTCACTAGTGTTTAGAATTTCTCCGGTCTCTTTTATTATCAAAATGTTTTCAACACTTTGAACAGTTCTTCAAGATTTCAAGGCATTTATTTGTTTTTTGGTTCCAAAAAGTGTACAATTTATATAGTTCTCGACGTAAATAGATGTCTTAACACTCAAAAATCAGTTCCCATATGCTGAATTCGTAAAGTAGGAACCTTTTAGTTTGCTTTTTATGTGAAAGAATATGTTCAGTATCTTTGTGACGAGCTAGTGTTAAAAATTGTTTTTTTTTTGGACTCTTGCCCCGGAATTAAGGTAGGTTTCAGGTCTAAAGTTACTGATCTAGCCTATTGGCTGCACTAGTTTTATTACGTTTAAGTTATTTAGTTGTTGATATATCTTGAGTGTGCGTACATCCCCCAGACCAGTGGAATTACCAAGATCAGCAGTAGTCGCGTCACAGAGTTGATTTGTTGGTTGTATTATGAAACATTTAGAATCGCGAGTTGTAAAGAAAGTGCAAGAGCTTAAGGTAGATTAGTTGACTAAACAGGCAAGTAAATATATGAGCTAATGAAAGATAGCATATACAAGTGAACAATATTGTATTCAATTAGTTCCTCGTCAGGCTTTACTCTAACGCGCGGTAGTATATATACACCCAACATTGTGGAATAATTCGATAGTTGTTCCTATCTTTAAGAAGGGTTCACGTCGTTTCTGCAACAACTAACAAGGAGTAAGTCTACTTCCTATCACGTCCAAACTATTGACTTTCGTCATACTTCATAGATTGTTTAAAACTTGAGAAAGATTGACTCGCGAAGAGCAGGCTGGTTTTCGTTCTAGTTGAGGATGGATTGATCATATTTTCACTCTCCGTCTGTACATAGCGACGATAATTCAATTAGAATGGTGGGTTTTAGGAGGAGAGGTTTTGGGTTGTCTATTATGTTATGCATCGTAATAAACTTTCCTGTTATTCTGTTATAACCTAGCGAAAGTAATCCCGGATCGTAAGGTCGATCTTCCTGTAATTTTTTCCCGAATTCAGTGATCCGCTTCCGTTCACTCTCTGGAACTTGTTCTAAGTGATCAGCATTTCAGAAGATAAGGTGAGACGAGACTTCGATTTCCAAGGTGGGCTAGTATTAATAATAGTGATCTGTATAGGAAGAGAATCATGTTTTGTGAACAATCAAACTTCAAAAATTTCTAGAGAATTGTTTTACTTCAGGCTGTTTACAGCACATAGGACGCTCTGGCAATAGACTTACAGTCAAGTTTTGGGTATTAGAAATAATATTTTCAAATTTCCAATTGAAAATAGCACAGTTATTTATTCAGTATCAGAATCCATCAACATTAATAGTAATATTTAGCTTCTATAGGAAATGATAGGTAACCTATACAGATTAAAAACGAAGTCTAAAAGTATTGTCAATAATACGTAACGTTGGTAATTTTAGTTGATATTTCTTCCAAATATATACCAGCTACGTTATACATGACGTACGACAGGGTGCTCGGCGTAAAAAACTTCAAACAATAATAATTTGTAAACCGTGGTTTATAATCTGAAGTGTTGGATTATAACACAAACTAGCGAAATCTCAATACTGCAAATCACTGGACAACTTTGGTTTTCGTTTGGGTTTGTTTAACCGAAACTTCATAACATGAAGCCATTTATACATGATTTAATAAGACCTAGTCATGCTGATATATTAAACTACTGAAATCCTAACAGTAAAAAATGTAACCTAGTTCCCAACCTAAAGAGACATATTTCCAATTAGAGTGGTTCACTTTTGGAATTTTCTAATAGCAGTCAATATTTTTGAACGTCGCTCAAACCCATTAATTTCTCCAGACAATTATTTATCTACGATCACAAATCGTAGTTCCATATAATGTACAGCTTAAGGTCATAATGACAGGATTCTTGGTGAGTTATTTTTTGCATTTGTTTGATAGTCATTTAACAGTTTAAATGAAAAGCAAGGTGTACATTGAATATTATTAAATGACAGGAATGCTTCGACGACACCCATTGTTATAAAAAGTTGCAGCTTATGTATGTTTTTCGCCTTCATAAACCAGTTGTCATGATTAAGATGTTATGTGAGGGGATTTCCGCAAAACAATTGTTCCTTATTTTGCAAACGAACATCTGACCTATATCCGATAGTATGAGCGTGAAAATTCATGTGCATGTTTTATAAGTCCGTTAAGCTATTTCACCAATCAAAAAAGAACCAGGAATACGGAAAATTTGAGGATAACTGGAGGGATAAATTAGCTCAAAAAATTATCCTCAATTAATTTATAATACCTCAACATAAACTAGGCGAAATGAATTAGTTTCTTCTATGTAGAGTGAAAAGCATCACAATCAAGGTTTGATTGTTGATCAAGACACTTGTGAGACTGCATTTTCTCAACCAAATATAACCATGTTATCTATGTTCTCGAAATTCAATAATAAGTTTCCAGTAAGGGCAGTATCTCAATAGCCATTTTTGAAGTGTTATCCCTCTGAGACTATCTGTGACGAAATTTTCATTCACATTTGGATCCTCCGTCTATTGATCTCTTGCTATAAGGAGCTTTCTTGTACAAGGTTATTCTCTTCTGAAATCTTGATGTTTGACAATTTGCTGGTTTCCACGAATGTCGTTATGGCCTTTTCGCCTATTCTTTCCAGCGTTTCATTCACGAAAGTGGTGAAGCTGACTGGTACATAGTTTGATGGCAGTTATCTTGATCCTGTTTTACGTATTGCAGTGACAATCTCATCTTTTCAACTCGTATGTAACTCGTTTTGGTCTAGTGATATTTTGAATGTCGCAGTCAGCAGGTTAGGAATATGTCATGCAATTTGCCTCAGAATTTTAGGGTTTAGTTCACTTAGTGGTATTGATTTTTCTGTGACCAAAGTGCTAAGGGTCTTTGTTCTGTTATATCACGATAAGAAAAATGAAAGGTAACTTTTAAAATTTATTTATGGAACCACACAATGCGTATATTTATATCGTATGATTGTTAAGTAACCAAACTATTCATATTCATGTCCCTCTCATTATGAGCTTTATTTTGTAGTATCGGTGTATATGTTAAGCCCATATACTTTATTCTAGTTGCTGGCCAAGCCAATTCGCCTATCCATTATGAGTCATATTTTGATCTTGTCAATTATTCGCTTACTAACCTTGACTACCTTGTTATATGAGCGCATGTGTATGTATCCTTCTTATCCTACCTATCACATGTCTGTCATTCATTTTTGTCTGACTATAAATGTTGATTAACGCTTGCTTAAATCGAGTTGGCTTCCCAGCCATCTCCATTGCGCATGATCTTTCGCTTCGTTCGCTCTTATTCGCTTCATCACTCTGATTATCTGGCCAAATCAATGACTGTAGAAAATATATGTATCCTAATTCCATTCTCGTATTAGACTTATTTAACTCCGTTATTCACTAACGCGGATAAAGTCATTTATTAAATACGAGTATAGACGAAATCAGATTCACGACACAACAGAATTGAAGGCCTCGCCGAAAGAACATGGACCAGAATCGACAACCTCTGCGTACGAACTCGCTACATAATTGGCGACCGCAACGAGCAAACACAAAACAAAAATGGAACTGTCGACGACATATTCCGTTATGATTCGAATAACCTCTATATGCTCTTTATTACAATAATTTCATATCATCAACTAACGTGGAATTATTATTGTTGTTCATATTAACGTCAAACTATGACATTTACGCGGTCAACTCACTAATCGAACAAATTATAATTATATGGACAGTACACGTTATGATATTCGGAACTCACTGGATTATTTTTATTATCCAATGGCGTGAAATTTTCCTGATTCAAGTGAGTTCGTTCCAATTTTTTTCATGTCATTTTCGGCTTAATATTACACTATCATAGACATAAGTTTGGAGTCATACTCCCGATAGTAGGAACTTATGTTCTCGATAGACAACTGATGTTCATTCATCTCTTCGGTACTCAGCAATCGTCGTTTTCTACTTTTACGCTACAACCTTAACTGAACTTCAGCAATTTTTGTTTCACGATGATCCCTACTTTAATGTCTATACACAAATCAAGTATTCGACGCCGCATTACCAGCCGTATAGTAATGATTATGTTCATATTATCTATTTATTCACATGTATAACTGAATGTTGCATCATCCATTACCTATAATCACAATTCGATTACTACGATTAATATTCTATTCTCAATGCACTGTACGCCAGAACATAGAGTTTAGAGCTAGTCTCTCAAAGATACACTCTTGTTCGTCACATCCAAGTCAGCCTTACTCGCCGTCATCGATAATCATATGTATTGGTATTTTTGTTATGCCTTAATACGGTTTCGTAACAAATGAGGTTGAGCGCATATCCCTCTAACTACACAAACCACGATAGGCTTCATGACCAAAAAGGAATACGACTCCGCATATCTCGTCTCAGCAGTCACTATCCTGTTCCTTTGGTCATTCTACTAATACATATTTAACGATAACTCGACGCACACGACAACGTATACTGACTTCGCATTTTATTATCATTATCAGTGCAGCAATGAATACCACCTGTTGATGCAGTCATCATCCTACGACTCGATTATTTTTACCACACACGAACTCCAGGTGTGCGAATTCGAATCCACTCATCGCCAATCGACTCTATTCACTCGACTGCAGCTTATCAAAACATATTTCACTGTTCTTTATCGTCATATTCAGTCAGCACCACAGACCAATTACTGTTATACTCTATTTTCGCGATATTTCGAATCGCTCATATGAACATATTATTTTCTCATTCAGACAGTCACGACATAAATGCATGCTAAATTTTTTTTCGTACACTTACTAATGTACTCATAATCATATGCTAGCATTTCAATTTTTGTCCGCACCTTGACAATATTCATGTACATTTTTACATAAGTATGACACTTCCGCTTAATACGCTCACCCCTCACATGACACTGTAATTTATCAGGTATTGTACCATTTTTTCCCACATTTTGACGTTATCCACATACCGCTTCAGTGTTATTTTCGAAAACAGACATTTTTTTTATAAATGTGCTATTTTCTACAAGGGGGCTATGTAGTATCGGTGTATATGTTAAGCCCATATACTTTATTCTAGTTGCTGGCCAAGCCAATTCGCCTATCCATTATGAGTCATATTT